ATTTTTTAATGAAGTGAATGGAATGGTTTCCTCTCTTCTTCCAGAAGTTTTTGTATTTGGAGATCTATATTATGTATTGATAGAATGAAACCAGATTTGGCACCCGTTTCTATTCTTGTTAGATTTTGTAGGTTTGTTTATTAAGAAATAAAAGTTCATTTAAATAAGCTCATTCTGCTGAAAATTTTGTGATAGTTAAAACTTTCAAAGTTATATCAGAAATTGCTTAAAGATTTATCATCAAGAATCCATTAGTTGATAGTTCTGTTAGATTCTCCTTCAGTTTTGTTGAAAGTAAAAAGAATGAGAATCACCTAATTTGTCAAAGAATTTATTATCTAGTCCTAATTTTATGGTTTCTATGAAGTATATCATAAAGGCTTTACCAAGACTTAGCAAATGTCTAATTGTATCTGTTCCTCCTTCTTCCCCTTATAGGCATTTTCTTTAATCTGATATAATCATAAGTTGAGAAAATAAAAATATTTTTTTAAGTTTATTTATGTATTTTGAGAGTGACAGACAGCACAAGTGAGGGAGGGGCAGAGAGGGAGACACAGGATCCCAAGCAGGCTTCACACCGTAAGTACAGAGCCCAATGCAGAGCTTGAACTCACAAAACCACAAGATCATGACCCAAGCTGAAACCATGAGTTGGACCTTCAACTGTCTAAGCCACCCAGGCACTCCTCAAAAAGCATTAATTTCAATACATCTTTGCCAATGGAGTTTTTTCATAAGATGCTTGTATCTTATAATGTATATAAATATGTTTTTGTCAAAACTTGAAAGTTGAAAGTTTAGCTTATTATATTCATAGAAAGTATCTCCCAGTTAACAAAGCTGGTCTCCTTAGACCAACCAGCTATATCAACTTTTTTAAATCACATAATATCTTTTCCTGTTAAATTAAAATAAATAGGTTATGCATATTTTAAGTAATACAAAAACTGCTGAGAAATAAGACACAGAATTGCAGACTGAAAGATACTACTAAGGTAGTGGAAGTTAAAATTATATGATGAGAATTTATCCTTTTTATAATTTAGAAACAAATAGGCTGTTTACTTATTTGTGTCATTGTGAATTAATAATATGGAGCAAGGGATATGAAAAGTATGTTACTGCTTTTCTAAATGTGTGGGCTTCCATTTTCTGATCTCTGATATTCAGCTTTTAGTTATAAATAAAAGGGAATGATTCAGAAATACTGCCATGAATTTTATTTTGGGATAATTAATGAAAGATAAAAGAAGAATATCTATTGCTAAAAATGATTCATCCTTTTTTTAAAATTCTGTTTTAAGGTTTGTTTATTTTGAGAGAGAGACAGAGTGGGAGCAGGAGAGGGGCAGAGAGAGAGGGAGACAGAATCCGAAGCAGGCTTTAGGCTCTGAGCTGTCAGCACAGAGCCTGACGTGGGGCTCGAACCCGTGAACCATGAAATCATGACCTGAGCTGAAGTTGGATGCTTAGACTGAGCCACCCAGGTGCCCCCCAAAAATGATTCATCCTTACAGTGAGCTGTGACTGATTTTTTTTTAAACTAGAGGTAGAAATATTTAAGAGGTTCAAGAGATGAGAATTTACTACTTAGAATAAAAGTTTTGTGATATGATTTACAAAATACATTTTAATTACTACATTGAATAATGCACACTTAATCTAAAATAGTTTATATATAGTTTTTGTGGGGTTTATGGAGCATAACTTGAATAATTTGTTGGTGTTCCTGGAAAATACTTTTAGATTTAAAAGTCAGCCTCCTTAATTGATACTGCTTAATTGATATTTAAAGCTTTTTAAATGTGCTTTTTCTGTAAGCTAATATTCACAGAATGAAGTTTGAGAATGGCTGAAGAGAATTACTTATTTAAGTACTCAAAAAAAATTTAGTTTTCTTGTTAGATATTTCTTATCAATATTCCCTTTATTTACTTTGCTGTTGTTAGCCTCTCCCCAAAGAGCAATGCATTCTCAGACAGTGCAGCATGGGGGTATGGGGTATGTGGGGTTGGAAGAGATAAAGTTGTTTAAAGGAAACTGCTCTGAGTTGCTCACAGACTATATTGCATCAGAATATCCTAGCAGGAGCCAAAATATCTTATTTTTAACTCTTAGATAAATATGTAAGACTGGAAAAGGTAAGGAGCCATATAGTGGATAGTTTATAACACTTCAGTTGTTTATAAATTGTTCCCCCAAACAGTATCTTTTGACTTGTCCTTTTTTGGGGTCCCTGAAGTTTATTACATCTCCAGGCAGTGTATCATAAACTCTAGGTGGAGGTGAGAGTGTTAACCTTTTTGTTGTAAACAGAAGAGCGCCCATTATGAAACGGGAAAAGAATACATATGGAAGGTGATCTGTAGACTGATTCTTGGAAGTTTTTCAGCTGTCCCATTTTTGAAGATCTCAAAAAAACCAAGAGCTTAGAAAGCAAAAAAGTTAATAACAGAAAACTCTTTACAGTTTATTCATTTATTTAAAGAGGAACTCTTTAATTGCTTAGTGAAAATTACTTAGAAATTATATGGAGAAAGTTCAAGGGGCACCATCAGAGAACTGTTTAAGATAGGTACAGTGGGATTTGCTAATGGGGTTTAGGTGTACTAAGCAGGAAAAAAAAATCGGGTGTAGATACAAGAACTTCAAAATCATAATACTGAGAACATTTGGCACAGGGACAAACTGCCCAACACATATCACTAGGTCCTGAGATGTTTAAATGTTTGGTGGACTTGTTTGAGAAGATAGAAGAATTTCGTGGCCCATTTTAGAAGGACTTAATTGATTAATTATTTTAGAGAGAGAGATTGAGCCAAAAAGGGGGTGAGGGGGAGAGAGAAAGAGAAAAAGAAAGAAAGAATCCCGATAGAGCTCCATGGGATCATGACCTGGGCTGAAATAAAGAGTTAGATGCCCAACCAACTGAGTCACCCAGACATCCCAGCAGGATTTTAATAGAAAAAGTCAATGTAAAACAAATATCATTGCTTAAAAGAGTTAAGTCTAAAAAACAGCTTATTTTGAAAATTCCTATATGACGGATGCCACTTCTCCTGATGAGACACTAGTCCTGAGACACCATGTCCCTGTGGCGCACTTTGTTTTTGTTAGAATGATTTTTCTCTCAGTTTTCACCATTACACTTTATTGTGGTTTTATGTGTATGTATTTTGGTTATTTAAAACATCATGTTGAGGGGTGGCTGGGTGGCTCTAGAGTATTTGACTCTAAGTTTTGGCTAGGTCATGATCTCATGGTTCTGTGAGATCAAGTTCCGTGTCGGGCTCTGTGCTGGCAGCATGGAGCCTCCTTGGGATTCTTTCTTCCACTCTCTGTGCCCCTTCCCAGCACTTGCTCTCTTTTTTAAAATAAATAAACATGAAAAAAAATCATGTTGACAAATTTGGTTATTTTGGTTTACTAGCCCAGTGGTCCTTAAAGTGTCATTCTCCAGCCAATGGCATCATCATCACCTGGATATTTACTTATTTTTTTTATTAACTTGGGAACTTCTGAGGAGTGAAAATCTGGGGGGCCCTTTCCAAAATCTGTTTAGTCTGAAACTCTGGGAAAGCAGTTCAACAGTCTGTGGTTTAATAAGCCCTTCAGATGATTGATACAGGCTGAAGTTTGAGAATTACTGGCTCAACTCCTGTCTGAATTAATTCTAACAATTATACTTGAATTTAGAAACTCTTTTTTTTTATATATTTTTTAATTTTTTTATTTTTATTTTTTATTTTTTTTACAAATAGTTTATTGTCAAATTAGTTTCCACATAACACCCAGTGCTCATCCCCACAAGTGCCCTCCTCCATGCCCATCCCCCCTCCCCCCCCCCCCCCCCCTCCTCAGTTTTTGTCAGCATTCAAGAGTCTCTCATGGTTTGCCTCTCTCCCTTTCCCCCACCATTTCCCCCTCTTCTTCTCCCCCTTGGTCCTCTAGAAACTCTGAAGTCCAGGGAAATTAAATGGCTGGGTCATAGGCACAGTTCTGGTTGATAGCAGGGTTGGGTCAAGAACCCAAATTTATTTACAGTTTTAAATAACGTATTTAAACTATACACCATTATCTCATAAATACAGATGTAAAAATCCTTAAAAAGATATGAACAAATGTATTCTACTCCTATATAAGAAGGATAATATGTTATGGTGAAGTAGAGTTTATTTTAGGAATATAGTAGTTAGTATTTAAAAAACAGTTGAAGTCATGTTAACAGATCATCTCATACCAAAAAAGCCTCTGACAAAATATAACACTGATTCATGATGAAAACTTGTAACAAATTAGTAGCAGAAGCAAACTGCCTTACACCAGTAGAACAGCATTTTGTCAGTCATCGTCTCCTGAAAGAACCCTTGAAATATTTTACCATTTTTAGGTCTCTGAGAATCTTGTAAAAATTGTTATATCGATAGTTCACATTTATTATCTAATCAGCAAATTGTGGATGTGATAAGCCAACAATAATCATTAGTTTTCTTTTGAATAGAAAATATTATTTTTCTTTGTATTCTGTCCTGTTTTTTAGCCTACTGTTTTCCTTTGTGTAGTTCTCTGCCCCAGATAGGGTATCAACTCTAATGTGAGTCAGTTGTATAAGTAAAATTCAGTTTTCCTATGATAGTTTTAAAGATTTTATTTATTTTATTTTTAGAGAGAGCAAGAGAGCAAGCAGGGAGAGGGGGTGAGGAACAGAGCAGGGGAGAGAGAATCTGAAGCAGGCTTCATGCTGGGTGCAGATCCCAATGTAGGGCTCAGTCCCAGGACCCTGGGATCTTGATGTGAGCTGAAATGTAGAGTCAGACACCCAACCAACTGAGCCACCTGTGTGCCCCTAAAGATTTTATTTTCAAGTTATCTTTGCACCCAACAAGGGCCTTGAACTCACAGCCCTGAGATCAAGAGTTGCATGTTCCACAGACTGAGCCAGCCAGGCGCCTCATCTATAATTTTTTTTTTAAACCATTTCTAAGTAGGCAACTTACTTGTTCTCAGATGAACAGAAGAGTCAGAGAAAGGGTCCTTCTTCCAGGTGCAGATTTCGTGTTGAAAAGGAAGAAAAACATTGTTTGATTTTGTTTTCTTAGTTCTTCCAGGTGGTTTTCAATAATGCCCGAGACTTGCTAATATCCTTCCTCTCTCTCCAGATCAGACAGCGTTACAAAATTTTCTTTTGTCACATGATTTTTCCAGAGATGCTGTTTTCCTTTGAAGTCTTATCACTTAAAGCATTGTTTTAGAGGCTTGCAGAAACTTGTTCAACCAGTTCATAGGTTTAAAAAAATGTCTGCTATGAAAGCTAGCTTCTGCAGTCATTCTTCATCTTCAAAGCATTCTGTAAAGTTTGACTTTTCAGCTGTATTTCACCTTTCAGCTTAAATGTTCTTTCAAGGACTCCCCTGCTAAGCCACTGAATTTCTGCACATTTATGTGTTGAAATGCACTAGTCTCTGCTTAATAAAGCAGATAATTTTCATAGCATCATTTGGGACATTTTTCATTTCATTTCCAAGGGTTTTTGATTCTAGTACCTCTCTGAAGAAATAGTGTCTTGTGACGACATCAGAATATTTTCTTTTTCACAAGAGTTAAAACCTTGTTTCGAGCCAGCCATTGATAGGGCCCATCAGTGACGAAAACAGAACAGTTTCTCCGAGAGTCTTTTGTTTCCAGGTGTGAAGGTACTGCATCAAGTATATCCTGCTCTTTGCTTTGTCAGTTTTGCATGGCAGTTCTTCTTGGCAGAAGAGTTTTTCTTGAAATTCATCATTTAACGATTTTGCACGTATTATTACTACATGACGTTTATTAGTGAAACCTGTTGACTTGCGGACTGAGAGACAAGCTGTTGTTAGTTCGTTAAACTTGTGCAACATCATGTGATGGGTCCTCAGTTTGTCGACTTGCCTTGTATGTTTTGGCACTTTTCAATTTCTCATGCTGTGCATTTTACTATCATTTGACATGTTATTAGGTTCCTGCCAACTGTGATTTCCCTCCACTAAGTCTTCTCTTTTCTAGGCTTTTTCACAGAATGTGACTTTTTTTTTTTTTTAAAGATTTTATTTTTAAACAATCTCTATACCCAGTGTGGGGTTCCAACATCCCCAGGATCTAGTCGTGTGCTGACTGAGCCATATGGGTGCCCCTAGTTATTTTTAAGTTTTTATTTTAATCCCAGTGTAGTTAACATACAGTGTTATATTAGTTTCAGGTGTACAATAAAGTGATTCAGTAAGGGAATATAGTTTTTTATTACTACCCTTATTAGAATTGTTTGTGGGCCTGGGCTTCAAAAGTCCTCTCTGTCACTAATCTCATCTTAAGAAATCATTGCACTGTCAGACGTGTTTATAAAACAAATGCTAACAAATTATCAAACTCAGGGAATTACTAAATGAGAACATTGCAGAAAACATAAACACTCCACAGTGTATTTTACTTCATTTTACTGTGTGATCTGTGTTTTTACAACATTTACAACAGCAAAGCATCCCAGGGCAGGTAAGTCCTGGTATGTAAGAATTCCTTGTTTAGAATGAATATTTCCTTATTTAGAAGGAAATTTCACATTTCCTGTTTGTCAGCAGAGCTTGCTTACTCCGGTGAGAGAGTTGGCTCTGTATAGTGGGAGGTTATGGGAGGTAATTTGGAAGGGCATTGCTGACATTGTCAGCCTTTTGTGCTTCCACTTGTGCAATATAGAGCTTACCAGTTATCAATGGCTTCTCTGTATTTCATCGAAAACTGATAACGGGTTTGTCCAAGTGAACATAGCCCCACTTGCCACGGGTGCTAAAAGGCCTAACGAAAACGTTAGCATGGCTGCTCAGTGGCTCCTGTTGCTGTGAGCACTCGGCTCATGTATGTGCAGTTCAAGAATTGATGTTTATTTTTTAAATCACAGTTTCTTATGCTGCCCCTAGTGAGATCTTGTGGAACCCTAGGTTCTGTGGAATACTGGTCAAGAAACCCTGTGATGAGACGGTACCTGTGAAAACTCAAGTACTTAGGGTAAAATAGTGAATGGTTTTCTTCCGAGGTTAGAAAAAGGTGGGGGCGCCTGATTGCCTCAGTTGGTTAAGCGTCCAACTTCAGCTCAAGTCACGGTCTCATGGTTTGTGGGTTCGAGCCCTGTGTGAGGCTCTGTGCTGACAGCCAGCCCAGAGCCTGGAGCCTGCTTCGGATTCTGTATCTCTCTCTCTCTGACTCTCCCCTGCTCATGCTGCCTCTACCTCTCTCTCTCAGAAAAAAATAAAACATCAAAAAAATTTTTTTAAAAGAAAAAGAAGATACTGATTGTCACAACATCTATTTTGTATTACACTGGAAGTCCTACCTAGTGCAAGTTGAAGCAGGAAAAAAGAAGTAACAGGTGTAAAATTGTAAAGGAAGAAGTAAAATTGTAGATGACATGATTAAATACATAGGAAAGCTAAGAGAATATGCAAACTATTAGAATTAAATGTATTGAGTAAGATCAATGAAAATAAGGCTGCTATTTAAAAAAAACAATTTCTATAGAGTTGCAAGAAAAAAATTAGTGAAATAAAATACAAAATGCAATATACCAAAAATAATCTGGTGACCAGGAAGGAATTTAACAAAAGTGTGTAATAGTTCACTGAAAACTAGCTTAAAAGTGTTACGTAGTCAGTCACTCTATGCATCCTTCTTTTTTTTTTTTAACTTAATTCCTGATCCAAGAGCAAGAAATAAGGAAGTAGTTTGAGTTCTCAGGTGTTTTTGTTTTAATGTTTTATTTATTTCTGAGAGAGAGAGGCAGTGCGAGCAGGGGAGGGTCAGAGAGAGAGGGAGATACAGAATCCGAAGCGGGCTCTGAACTAGCAGTCAGCACAGAGCCCAAACTGGGGCTCTAACCCATGAACTGTTGAGATCATGACCTGAGCCGAAGTTGGACACTTAACCAACTGAGCCACCCAGGCGCCCCTTGAGTTCTCAGTTTATCTCTCTTGCTTTTTGTTGTTGTTGCTCATTTTGTTATAATAGTTTCTCAGTTGACAATTTGACGGTTGTATGTTTGGCTTCTCTGTTTACACAGCTCAGTGAAAATGGTTAGGCTTTCATAGGTTAAATATTACTTTTGTTTTTGAGCTTGATCTGATCCTAAAAATTCCATTTTTAAATTTAAAAACAATAATAAAGATACGGCTAGTGCTTTTTTTTTGGAGCTGTATTCATTCTTTTTTGCTTAAATATTCAGATTAATGTGGCCTTTTGATAATTTTATATTTAACTTAATGGGAAAGTTTTTAATGTGAAGAAAACTAAGGCAAATATATTTGGTAATCAGTGATAATGGAGAATACCAAATAAGTATTTCGTTTATTTTTTAATTTTTTCCCCTTAAGCTTATTTATATAGAGGGAGAGCTAGCGTGCACGCGCGCTTATCTTCTTATGTGAGCAGGTAAGGGCGGAGTAAGAGGGAAAGAGACATTTCTAAGCAACTACAGTACTGTCAGCACAGAGCCCAATGGCTGGACATGATCCTGCAAACTGTGAGATCATGCCCTGAGCTGAAATTAAGAGCTGGACGCTCAACCGACTGAGCCACCCAGGCAGCCCTGGATACTTGGTTTTAATTGATGTATAGCTATAAATACTTCAAGATTTATAATTTAAAGGGAAGAAAGTGCAGGTATTAGATTTCTGTTGCTGCTGCAACAAATTACCGCAAACTAGTGGCTTAAAAAATGCAAACTTATCATTTTACAGTTTTAGAAATCAGAAGTCTGAAAGCCATCTCACTATGCTGAGGTCTGGGCATAGGCAGGGCTAGTTCTTTCAGGAGGCTTTCTGAGGGAACTTCCTCTTTTCTTTTCTTTTTTTTTTTACATTTATTTTTTTGAGAAAGAGAGAGCGTGAGTGGGGTGGAGGCAGAGAGAGAGGGAGACATACAATATGAAGCAGGCTCCAGGCTCCAAACTGTCAGCACAGAGCCCAAGGCAGGGATCAAACTCATGAACTATGAGATCATGACCTGAGGTGAAGTGGGTTGCTCAACCCACTGAGTCACCCAGGAGCCCTTGTTTTCTTTTTTTGCTTCTAGACCTGTCTGCATTTTGTCTGCATTTTATGACACCTGCACTCTCTTGCATCACTCCAGCCTCTTTCACTGTCCCATCACTCTGACTCTGCTGCCTCCCTTTTCCCCTTACAAACATTTGTGATTACATTGGGCCCACCAGAATAATCCTCAATGATCTGTCCATTTCAGGATCCTTAATTTAGTCATCCCAGTGAAGTTCCTTAGGCCACATAAGATAACATAGTCACAGGTTGCAGGGGTTGGGCATGAAAGTCTCTGGAGAAGTTGCAGTATTTGGGAGAGGGGGTGCAACAATGAAGCAGTACAATATTACAAAATTATGGCTTTAATTTAATCCGTCACACCAGTTGGCAGTTTGGTTAGTAAATTTCCATCTGTCCTTAGCCAATTAGTTCATGCAAACATCAAAGGATTTTTAATTTTTGTAATGATTTGATTTTTTGGGTGGGGGGAGAGAGAGTGTGAGCAGGGGAGGGGGGCAGAGGCGGAGAGAGAGAGAATCTTAAGCAGGTTGTACACCTAGCACAGAGCCTGATGTGGGGCAATATCTCGCAACTGTGAAGATTCTGACCTGAGCCAAAATCAAGAGTCAGGTGCTTAATTGAGACTCTCAGGCACCCCTGTAATGAATTGATTTTAAACTCACAGGAGGGTTATATTTGGAAGACTTTTAAAAAAAATTTTTTTTTTAACTTTCTAACATTTATTTTTTTGAAAGACAGAGCTTGAGCAGAGGAGGGGCGGAGAGGGAAACACAGAATCTGAAGCAGGCTCCGGGCTATGAGCTGTCAGTACAGAGCCCAACATGGGGCTCGAACTCACAAACCGTGAGATCATGACCTGAGTCGAAGTCACGATCTGAGCCTTAACCGACTGAGCCACCCAGGCACCCCTGCACATGCTTTTTATTCAATAATTTGTTCTGGACTTCTTTCGAAATTAGCACATAGAGGACATCTGCATTTTCTTTTTAAACATCTGTATAGTAGCATAGATGTCCTAGAGTTAATTTAATCAGTATTGGTGATTTAATCAATTGGTGATCACGGATTGTTTATAATATGTTCCTTTTGCATTGGAACCAGGG